ATGTTCAGTCTGGACCAAAGTGGTGGACCGACAAACTGACTTTGCCATTCTGCTGCTAGCATGGCCTGACACACAAAAACAGTCAACTGACCTGGCTGTCAGGGTCACCGGGCATGCCCAGCACTGGAGCTGGTGGTCTGGGGGGGTTCATGGGTGGGTGTGACGGGGTCACTGGAGGTCGTGTGGCCAAACGAGGTCTCTCGCACACCTCGCACAGAATACTGCTGGCTGAATTCACCACAGTACAGCTCTTACACTGCCACTCTGAGAAAAACACATTAACACACACAGATACCAGTTCGTTCTAACCAATACTAGGTACCATTATGTCATACCAGGTGTACTATGATTGTGGTGCCAATTTTTTATTTTCCTAGGAGGTAAATAAGCTTTGGCCATTGTAAAGTGTCACTGAAAGAGTTAGAGATGTTATAGATCAAGTGTACATTTAAATTAAAAGCTCAAATAATGGCCTAGTACCCTAAACCTAACCCGAAAATAAACAGGCTATTAAAACAGAGCAGAAAAATATTAATATATCCTGTCAAGCCTACTTTGTCATTCTTGATTTGAATTTGCTCTTAATGAACTTCCTGCAGGTGTTTCACAGTAAAAGCCTTACATGAAAGTGAAAGAGTTAACACTATAACTGTTATTTTTCAAATTTATAGTAGAGAAAGATGATTCACAGCAGGTGCAGACGTAGCTTGTTGCCCTGCTCGCTAGATACATAATGTATGGGAGATGGGGGGCGGTTGTAACACTTCTTGTCTCAGTACCTATAACCCACTGACATTTTGTGTTAGAGCTCTCAAACTTTGGACACAAAAAGTACCCTTGCTTGGGCTTCTACAAATAGTAACGTTTCCAACTCTTGTCTCGGTTTATTTTTAATTTTTTAAATTTATTTAAAAAAAATAGACAAAAATTACAAAGATAACAAATAATATACAGTGCAGGGTGAGGCAGAAAACCCAATGGGCTTATTGGGACCCACCACCTAAATATGTTGTTTCACTAAGTCATAGAGAACACAGAATTAATATAACAAAATAATATGACTTGGCTACATAAAAGTGATACTAATAGCAAAATTAATAACAAAATCTATGTGATAACAACAATAATAATATATTATTATATTATATAATATGCAGTTTTATGTTATTGTTTTATAGTTCTATAGCCCGCACTTCGTTCTTGGCTTTTTTATTTTTTTTATTTAGATAAGCTTGTTTTCAGATTACTTTGTGTGTTATAAATGTTAAAATAAAATGTTTCATAATCAAATAATATACTTTAATTATTAATGTCTTGTTCTGAGTTATGTTAAATGAATTTCTGTATGGCAAACTACTATTGAGAATAAATCCAGTAATTACAGCTTTCTACAATACTTGCGACTGCGATAATATGAGTGATGATGAATGTATCATTTATTTTGGTGTATTTTAGTGTATTCTAACACAATAAAAGCATTAATCTCTCAAATGGGTATTTATTATAAGAGATTATAGAGTTTGGAATGTAGCAGTCAAAGGTAGTAAGTAATGGGTGGATGTATAGACTTTTAACTGAGTTTCTATGCCACAGAGGAAACTAGAATGTGGTAGAATAAAGGAGGTGGGATTACTGGTGTGTCAGGTGCACAGAAGAGAAAACACAGACCAGAGATGGTTGCTGACTGAGATTCATCTGCTTTAGAGCTGATTGATTCCATGCGGGGGCGCTCACACTCCTCACAGACCACATCCTGGACAGAGTTGACTTTAGTGCAGTGAAGGCAACGCCAGGTGGAAGAACTGAAATGGGGGAAAAGGGGCTGTTATGCTGTTGTGACATGAACATACATATTGAAAGGAAGGACAATCTTTATTAGGAGCACTAGAACAAACCAGATTATCTGTCTCATGCTATACTGTCAGGATATAGCTTTAATAGTTGAAGGTTAAACTGTTCAGTAAAGCCAGGAGTGACTGACAGGTAGTCAGAACCAGAACCAGCACTGGCAGTGGACTAGTGGGATCAGAGTTTTCTAGGTTTATATTGCCAGAACTATTGATGCTGACCTGTTACTGTTCCTGTTTTGAGATGATGACGACGATGATGATGTGACAGCTGTGCGGCGGTGGTTGGCCCTCTCAGGGTAGGAGTGGTACAGTCTGTCACATTCTGAGCAGAGCCCCTGCAGGCAGGTGAGGCAGTGGGCAGAGATTCGGAATATTTCACAGATAGTGCAGTTCTCTAAAACAGAGATAACAATACAATGTACCAAATACTGTCACGTTTGTTATACTATAATCTGTATCAATTGACCCTTCCTAAGTTATATCCTATTCCCTAAGATATATCCTGACGAGTTGTTGTGCATCAAGACAGCAATGGTATGTGGGCTTACAGGAAAACTATGAGTAGGAGTTTTGACACACCTGATATGCCACCAGTGTGAGGCTCCCACAATGTAAAATACACCCTTAACAAAGATTAAGTCTTTCTAAACTAGTCATGGTGTTTCAGTGTGTGAAAACAAAACCACCTGCTTGATTAGCAAGGTATGTATGCCTGTGTGTTTATGAACTTAGTAATTGCAGAATAATAAATAAATAAATAGATCACTAAGCAAGTAGTCAAATGCAAAACAACAACAATTTCTCTCCTCACCTGGGTGTTTCTTTGAGGAGGTGGAAAAGACCTGAATGGACCTGAGACTTTGGTGGTGGGCGAACAGGGAGTGACCGTGGCTGCTCTCCCTGGAGGGGCGATGGTGGAGGGGGAAAGCTAAAGACTTGGTCTGACCGTCTGAATGACACGAACTGGAAGAGGAGTGGTAGACCACAGCGTCGGTGTTGAGACCTACATCCTAAGAGGAGAAAGGAGTGGGTGAAAACTTGAAGAATTGGCACTACAGGTCAACATAAACTTCAAAATAAGAGTTTACTCAGTAAAAAGGAATAACATATCAATGTAAACTTTATACTTCTACTCCAATACAGCCCAGAGGTAAATATTGTACTTTTTTCTCCTCTACATTTGTTTGACAGCTTTACTTGCTTTTCAGATTACAAACTAAAGAATGAAATGTTCTTCTTAAGCTAAATATACTATTTAAAAACCCTCTCGGGTTAGCTGGAAAATGCATCGTCACAGAGCTGAAAACAAGATTGCTCATCTGTGCTCATGAAAACTTGACTTTTCCGGGATGCATGGTTCTCACAGGACATCCACGCTACAAACACATGATGATCTTATTGAATATACTGCATTGCTGTACATTAAACTTCCCAACTTTATACAGCTTAAAGTAATATAAATGAGCACAACATTTACAGCAGTAAAATGTAACATACACATTAACATATCACTATTTATACTAATTCAAAAAACATCCTTTATAAAAGTAAAACACTGGGACAGGGAAAATTTTACTGCACTATATATACTTCTACTGGTATACATACCTTTAAGTAAGATTTTGAATCCAGGACTTTTACTTGTTGAGTATTTTTACAGTGCATGGTATTAATACTTTTACTGGGATGACAGATGATGGTGGTATGATGGACTTTACCTTGTGTCTTAGAGTAGGAATGATTCTCTCATAGAACTCAGGGTGGGGATGAGCCTCCTGGAATCAAAACAAATAAGTTATCATTAATGTTTTTTTTTCAAGTCAAGAAAAAGAGTACAATGCTATGGAAGCATACTGCATTCACTTGGAAAGATCTATTTACTTTACTCTATACTGTGTCCTGTTTTTCATGAATTAATAACTTAACAGGCCTCATGCAACAAATTTATCCAAGATTTGTTCTTATTTTGTTAGTACCCATTAATTTCTGGGATTCCTCTGACGTTTCTTATTTTTGCTCTTCTCTTAGGTAAGAGCTAAATTTACGAATTGTTTGTCCAATGCAAAGAAATAAAGGTTTTAAATTTGAGGAACATAGAAAAAGCACAAATTTTCCACTCTGGAATGAACGTTTATTTTAAGTTTATTTTCCATGTATGTCAATTCCACTATATTGCTGAAGTTCTTCTTATAGATATATATATATTAAATATAAATTTGTCATCATATATATCATCAATATTTAAATATCATATAGATATATTATTATATTTATGGAGTATGCATTGAGCTATTTTAATTCATTTATTATTTGTTTTTAGTCTCTGCTAGCATTAGAAGCATGGGCCCACTGGAGGCTGTCTAAGGGCTGGCGTTAGGGGCTTTGCGTCAGGGTTAGAGGGCTGAGATTCCTGCCTGGGCCCACTGGTACATGGTGGAGGCTGGTTATAAGATTTGGGTTAAGCTCAGGGGGGTTGAGAACCGGCCTAGGGCTGGACGAATCTTATTAATTAGGAGAAACAGAGTTTTTTCATGAAAATTTCCCTCAGAATTATGAGATAATAAGTTGTTGATTCAGAAAATGCAAGTGAATGCAAAAGGTTTCGTATAATGCACTACACATACATGTATTCCAGAGCAGTATAAGAATTAAAATGTGTAATATTTAGAGTCTGTGCTGGTTCCTTTCCTTTCAGTTGTAGTCTGCAACCATCATACAGCAGCAAACCTTTGCTCACATGGAGAAGAAATAAACAATAATACCTTATTATTACCCAGCCTTAATCAGAATCACTGAGTCAAGGTTTTTTTATTTCCATCCCCTTACTTTCTGGAAAAATGCCATTTTAGTCAACTATTGACCATCTCAATCATACCCACTGCATTCAGTGCGGAGGTTGTATTCTGGAGTCAGGAGCATTCACACTTTTCAAGAATACACAAACAATAGCACACAAAAGACATATACATAGAGTTGTCTGTTACATGTTATACAAAATATAAAGTTTTAAAAGCCTTCTCCAACAGCAAACGTAGTGTGACACAGTAAGAGCTGTGCTGGAGCAGACAGAAATGTACAATTATTAGGAATGCTCCTGGTACTGCTGCAAACTGAGGATCCAGCGCATTCCTTTAATTCCTTTAAAAACAATAAAGAGCAAGAAGCTAGTAAGCATACACAAATTACACACATACCTTAATAAGCATTTCTAGTTCCATCCTCAGGCTCATCACTTCCAGCGTTACTGCTGCTACTCGGCCCACATCAGGATCCATGACATCATCAGGGAAACTGAGCCCATCTAGCTGCTGATTGGAGTAACCATAGAGACAGAGCACTGCTCGTCCTCCCTAAGAGCAGAAAGAACCAACAGGATGTTATGTGAACTTTTTGTTCATTTTCTTAAACAGTTTGCGTTTGACATTAGAACATCCCATGTTCTTTACACGGAAGTCCTATCAGTCAGCGAGGGAAATCTTTTCTTGGGGCCAAAAATAAAAGGGACAGAATTGAGAGAAGCCTGTAGCAGCTTCCAGATAGGGTGAAGAGACATTCGAGACA